CATAAACTGTGCAGTGACTCCTTATGCTTGTTTTCTATTGTGGCTGCTTGTCAAATATAATCCCGACTAGACATCCTGTGATGTGACTATTGCAATTTCGATGCGGAAACATTTTATTGTGCATCAATAGTCCAAACTATTTATTTTTCCATATTAATGGCTCATGCTAGAGAAAGAAAGTCCTACTGGTTTGGAACGACACCTATTTTTAGCTGAACTGTCCCTTTAAGTAAACATTGTTGTTGGGTTTGTTTGGATCGTCTTTTGTGTTTGTTGTCTTTTATTTTCTGTGTGTTAAGCCTTTAAAAGGAGAGTGATGACACACTGCCTAACTATAGGAATGCCGTTTCAACATTACTTGGGTTTCTCTGAGAGATGAGAGAGCCCGCTGGCTGCTGTTTTGCTGTCTAAGCTCTTGTCGCTGCAGATTGGGTGGAAGATACTGTACACAGGCAAACACACACTAATACACACTCAAAGCACTTGTTGTTGTAATATTTTCTTACCTTCTATAACAAACAAACATTCAGTTTATGATATCAGGAGTAAGAGTTTGTGTGTGTGTGTGTGTGTGTGTGTGTGTGTGTGTGTGTGTGTGTGTGTGTGTGTGTGTGTGTGTGTGTGTGTGTGTGTGTCTCTGTGTAATAATTTTATTTATTATTATATTTATAATTTTACAAAATATTGCTGTTCCAAATAAATAATGTTGTTTCAAATTATTTATTCAACAAATAATCCTGAATAAAATTATCTGCTGATTTTATTTATTAGAATAGATTAGAGCTTTCTTTAAATATATAAATAATTATTGTTAAATATTAATATATTATTATTAATGCATTAAGTAAAATTCATAAATTAACTACTTAAACATTTTTCTGAAGTCATTCACAATTACTTAAAATTTAAAACAAGAAAATTCAAATTTAAATTTGTTTGCAAGAAATTGGTTGACACTGAATCTACAAATAATTTTAACAACAAAAATATGGTATATTTAACATGTCTGTTAGTATCTTTTTACTTAGTACTATGAATAAAGACTGGTATTATACCAATAAATATAACTATATGTCTCCGTTAAATAGGTTTATTAAGATCACATATTCTTTGAGAGGAAAAGATCAAGTATTTAAAAAGATTTGGAATCCATTTTTGAATTATATTAAAACAGTACCACTTGATTTGATTTGACAAAATGTCTTTTTTCCCACTGGTTTATACTGTATCTCCTCCCTTTTTATTTTGCTTATTTATTTTATATACTGTGTGGGTTTTAATTTAGTTTGTTTGCTGCTTTGTTTTGATCTTCTGTATTGTTAACTCTTGAAAAAGCTAAATAAAAATATATAATCATAAAAAAATAGATTTATTAATACATTTCCTAGGGTTATGACATACTTTTAAAAATTTGATAGCCGACGCCCAGCTCATTTGCATTTAAAGAGACACAGACAACAACAGTATGTTTTTATTTCTGTCAAAAAAAACAACAACTAGCATTTAGTCTAAAAAAATCATCTGTCGGGCATTTTTAGCTCAAATTCAGACAAATTCTGGGAATAACATAAGAGTTTTAATACATTTGGTTAAAGGGGTACAGTAGAAAATATAAAATACACTCCCTGACAAAAGTCTTGTCGTTGATCCCAGTTGTAAAATCAACAAATCATAACTTGACTTCTACTTGACTCCATTTGGAAAAGTGGAAGAAAGTTGATTTTTCCAGTGAATCAACTGTTCAACAGCATCCAAATCATCACAAATACTGCAGAAGACCTACTGGAACTCTCATGGACCAAAGATTCTCACAAAAAAAAAATCAAACATGTTTGGTGAAGGAAAAATCATGGTTTGGGGTTACATTCAGTATGAGGGCGTGTGAGAGATCTGCAGAGTGGATGGCAACATCAACAGCCTGAGGTATCAAGACATTTGTGCTGCCCATTACATTACAAACCTCAGGAGAGGGCAAATTCTTCAGCAGGAGAGCACTTTTTCTCATACTTCAGCCTCCACATCAAAGCTCCTGAAAATAAAGGTGCTCCAGGATTGGCCAGCCCAGTCACCAGACATGAACATTATTGAGCATATCTGGTGTAAAATGGAGAAGGCATTTCAATCCAAAGACTTTTGATGAACTCTGGGAGTTCTGCAAGAACAATTTCTTTGCCATTCCAGATGACTTTATTATTACGTTATTTAAATCACTGGTCATATTTTATTTTGGTAAAATAATCGTAATCTAGAGGCCTTTGCCTTTCATATAAGCCACTTCTGATGCCAAATGATCAACTAGAAGTCAAGTTTTAATTTGTTGTTCCTAAAACTTAAATAGGCGACAAGACTTTTGTCAGGTAGTGTATTCTTCACACTTTATCATATACAGTTCCTTAGATTACAAAAAACTATTTGACAGATGTTAATGTTAAAATTACTACATGTAAAACAACATTTTCTTTACAAAAAGTGTATTTAGATGCTGTTCTTGGTGGAAAAGTAGCGAATATTTGTACTTCAGTATTAAAGCTACATTAAAAAAAAGTATGCAATAATTCTGTGCATGTCGGAGCTTGTTTTTGCCAACTGAACAGGCTGAAATAATGCTTTTCACTATGTAAATGCCTGAGCAGTGGAGGGTTGTTCGCTGGTGATTGTCGGCATATGCAGTGTGAATTGGGCTTTTAGTGTAAATAAAAACCTCTGCCAGCATGGCAAGTGTAAACAGACAGTGTGTAATAGAAACTCACTGCAGGACATCGATGCGAGCATGTGGTGAATGAACTGGCCCGAGCCTCCTTTGTCAAATACACATACAACAACTCAGCATATGAACATTATAGAGTCAGTCCCACACAGACACGTGAAGGAGAGAAGCTCTGTGGAAATAGCAGCGTTTGAATAGCATTTTAGCTCTCTCTGCTGTAACATTACAGTGCCTCTGGCCATGCCCCTTAAGGCTGATTTATACTTCTGCGTCAAACGTCGGCGTATGCTACGGCGCTGACGCATAGCCCTTCGCCGTGGCCATCGCCGTCACTGACGTGCACCTCTCAAAAAATCTAACTACACATCGCAACGACGCGTAGCGTAAGCTCTGTGATTGGTCGGCTTGGTAGTGCTGACGAGTCTGGGCGGGACCGAGAGCCGGGATTGTTTACAAGTGTGGAGTCCCGTGAAGGAGCTCCGGATGGAAAGTTTTGTTTTGTGTTTACCTCATAGTTAAAGTTGTTGCACGTCCGCCAGTTCCTGCCTCAAAATGAGCGAGTTTGAGCCACTTGTACATCCCGGAAGTGTTCAGGAAAAGCAAAAAAGCAGAGAAGAAACTCGACACAGAGGAACATTAACACCTCACTGCCCACTAGCGTTTCGGAAGTGTTAATGCAGACCGACAGAGAGAGCGCGCAGAAGTATAAATGCACAGCCACGTGCATTGCCTGCGCCGTGGGTTACGCCGGTCACTTGAGGCAGAAGTATAAATCAGGCTTTAGCTGTGCAGTGTGTGTGCGCGGTAAACACAAGTTTGGGATCGCACAAGCCCGAATTTTTTTTTTTGTAGTCCCCAAAATTTGTTCATTGTAGGCTTTGCTAAGCTAACTTTAAAAACCAAGGTCTCTTTGCATTGAACTTTGAGCATTTTGCATTCAGGGATGCTGTTTATGTTCACACAGCTACATTATTTACACATCAACTAAAGTTTAAAATATGATATCGTAGTGGACCACCTCTTTAAAAATTCTAATGCTATGTTCTTACCAGACGTGGAACGTGCGGAAAAATCGCGCTATTAGTGCGTAAATAGCCGCGTGATTATTTGAGTTTACTTGCTTCATTCACGCGTCAAACTCCGCTTCATTCGCGCATCAAATCCTCTTCATTTGCGCATCAAATTCACTTTAGAACAGACGCGGATTCGCGTGATGGGCAGGGCTTCTGTCTGCCCGGTGACTGTAGCTTCGTTGCTAAATGGCTAACATGGATTTTATGAAGAAAATAACAGTGTTTATGTACTTTATGAAGGCTGAAAAACAGCGTCGATACATTTAGGACCGTGTCTGAGTCCACTACATCCTTTCAGAGGTGCATCCAGCTCTGTGAGCTCATAAACTCCTCCAGAAACTGAACCTGGATGACTGAGCCAAGCCCAGTTTGATGACTTGTTGTCGGTGTTGCCTGGTGGATTTCCCCCGGGACACCATCAACAGGTTCTACGTCATAATCACGCCCCCACACGAGCAAGCTTCTGATTGGTTAACGCGGTGCGAATGTCCGCTGAAGTTTAGATTTTCGAACTTGAGAGATTCGCGCGAAACGCTTGTTAAGCGCGTCAAACGCGAAAACGCTCAATTCGCACCACGCCAATCGCGTCATTCACGCCATGCCATTCGCGCGTATCGCGCCGTAGGATGTCTATTTGCGCGTTTGCATTGACTTAACATGTAAATCACTCGCGCTTGACGCGCGTTCCGCGTCTGGTGTGAACACAGCATAAGAAGGTCGAACAAATTGGTCTTAGACTGCACATATTAGTACAGAAAATGTACAATAGTACACCTTTTGAAGCGTTGAGGTACTAATATGTATCTTTAAGGTATCAATAGGGCACATTTTATTAATGGCTTTTTTTCAATGAACAAACTCTTCAAAAAGCAAACAGACACTCCTCACGTACAAACCAATGAACTCATACCGTCTAGACTGTGGATGTGCAGAATTACACACTTTCACAGCCCTGTTTAATCAGGCTGGTTTAGTCTCGTTCATCATAAACTTTTCACATGATGCAGACGTCTCCACACACACACACACACTAGTTGCTGACCTGTTTTTTTCTGAATGAGCTCATGGTCGTGATGTCATCATAATCTAATAATGGCTGTCTCTGAACTGGTTTTGATGAACTGAACTGTGCTGGAAGGTTCATTTCATTCTGGACATCTGATCGTGCATGTATACAGTGAGTTCGTGACCTGAAGCTGTGTTTGTGTGTGTGCTTGTAGAGAGTGTTGTCCAGGACTTTGCTGTTCTGACCTGCGTCCTCTCAGTCCATCCAGAGACAGCAGATGCAGCGGAGGAGTCAAACTACGCATTAAAAACAGGTATGGCTATACATCTCTGTGTTTAAGCATGAGTACATACACACGTACATATGTACATGCATACATACATACTGTACATAAATACATACTCTACATACATATACAAACAAAAGTGGTGCAATGGTATGAAAATTTTACCATATGAAAACAGCATCTGAAAACATAACTGATTAACAGTATTTGATAATACAGTATAATTTTTATTATAAATATTAGCTTTGATCATATATAAATAATACATGGTAATTATATTAAATAATATATTATTTTAATCAATTGTTTTAAACATGACTTTTTTATAATAAAAATAAATGTGTATTGTATTTATAAACAATATACAAAAATGGGTAACTATTTGATAATTATTATAGTTGTAAATTGTTAATAATTGTAATTTATATAATGTAATATATATATATATATATTATTCATATAGTGAAATACTATGTGCTGTCATCATTGCATAGAAAAAATAAATCAGTTATTAGAAATGAGTTATAATATTATGTACTTCTTTCCGTTAAACAGAAATTGGGAAAAAAATAAACGGGGGCTAATAATTCTGATTATATAGTTTATTTTAAAGAAACAAATGTTTTTATGTGATCCTCGCGTTTTTTTTTTAATATTAGACATTAGTTAGAAACTAGAAAATCACATTTTTGTTTTTATTAAGTTTAGATTTTAATTTAAAGCTTTCATTCATTTGCCCTTTTAGATATTTATTTTATTTCAAAACATTAATTTATTACATTAACTTTATAAAGTAAAATGTTAATATAAATAAATATAATATAATATAAATATTTATTTTAAAATAAAATAGTTTAGATAAAAATTCTTTAAATAAAATATTTGTGTATTTGGTTATTTTAGTTTATATCATAACATCTAACTAGTTACTTGCTAAAATAACATTATAAATAAGTGTAAAATAAAATATAATAAATATTTAATACAAATTTTTATAATTTTAATATTTATTTTATTTTTACTTTTATTTATTTGTGCTTCCAGTTATTTTCAGTTAGTTTTATAATTAGTAGTTATAATTTTTATTAGTTTGAAGTAATAACTTGCTGAAATAACATATTATAAATATGTATATAATATAATATAATATAATATAATATAATATAATATAATATAATATAATATAATATAATATAATATAATAATCGATGCGGTGGCACAGTGGATAGTGCTGTCACCTCACAGCAAGCAGGTCGCTGGGGAAAAAAATGTATGAATATAATATAATATAATATAACATAACATAACATAACATAACATAACATAACATAACATAACATAACATAACATAATTGATATAATATAATATAACATAACATAACATAATTGATATAATATAATATAATATAATATAAAATAACATAACATAACATAACATAACATAATTGATATAATATAATATAACATAACATAACATAATTGATATAATATAATATAATATAATATAAAATAACATAACATAACATAACATAATATAACATAACATAATTGATATAATATAATATAATATAATATAACATAATATAAATATTTATTTTTTAAAAAGTTTAGACTTAATATTAAATCTTAAACTTTGAGCTTTTAGTTGTTTCTATTTTATAACATTAATTTAAACTGTAGAAACTTGCTGAAATAAAATATTAATATAAATATTTACATAATATATTAAACATTTATTTTACATATTTGATTTTATTTCAGGTGATAGCATCCTTTATCTGTACAGTTATTTTTGTAGCATTCTGAAAGAAACTATTGCAGTTGTTTAATAATAGTTTACATTATTAAAATTAATCAAATTTAAGTATAGTTTAAATAAGATTGAATAAAAGAGTGAATAAAAAAAAGTGAAATAATATAATATAAAATAATATAATATAATATAATATAATATAATATAATATACACAATTACTTCACATAAAAATTGTTTGAGTTTTTATTTTTACTATATTATCTCTTATCATTAATCAAAGGTGCTTTTCAGGAAACAGCTTTTATTTTTCATCTTGAGTGGGAAACAGGAAATGAATGTGCCTGTGACAGGAAGAGGAAGTACTGAAGTAGATTTGGCTTTATTGGTCATGTTAGGGGTGACTCTCAGTGCATCCCGTCTCCATTTACACTAAATCCACTATTACTGACTTGTTTACAGGCTGTTTAAGGGGATTTTCGGAGAAAGGCAAGATTATGCTGTTGTCTCACATGCCAAAATGTACTTTATCCTTTTTATCCCTGGTTGCTCTTTTTCTTTTCCTCTCTGTTCTGTGTAAATAAAACTGGAGTGCTGTGTACAGACGCTGTAAATAGCAAGATGACCCCGTCTCAAATAGCACTTTCAACCCAATAAGGCTGTGATGGAAAGGTCACATGACGTCCAGGAGCTTGGTTTCTTTTTTGGGGACGTAAAATGTCAAATTTCAAAAAAGGAACTGGTGGCATGTCTGTGTTTTGTTGAATTCTGTGTGGTTTTTTACAGTATGTGAAAAGAAATTAGTAAGAAAACATTGAATTAATAAAATCTGACAATTTAAGATGTTACAGGTTGTTTCAATAAGGGTGTCACGATCCTCCAAATCCTTGATTCCATTACATTTTCGATTCTAAAGGCACGATTCGATTCGATTTTCGATTATGAATAATTAATTAATTAATGACCAATTAATTATTTGTAGCCTACCGTTTAAACTACCTGACCTGCATGGTCTTTGTTTTACCCATAAACAAATCATACAGTAAATGAATAAAGGAAAGATACACACATAATTACCACCTGTCAATCACTTTTTCTGCGGGACTCGTGAATAGGCAATGATCTGTGTCGTTATAATGGCGTTGGTAAAAAAAGACGCACAACCAACAGGAACCAGCCAACAGTATCTGAGGTGTTCGCTAAAATGACAGAGTACAAGTGAGTGAAAGATTGAAGCAGTCCTCTGACTGCCTGGACCTGCTGTCTCGAGCGCATGGCTGTGTGTGCGTCTGTGTCTATGTGGTCACGTGATGTACATTTTCAGAGGTAGAGAGGAAGGAGAGCTGCTCAGAAATTCTACACGCCACTGTGGATGTCAAATCGTTGTCGTTCTAAAATGCCATTTAAAAACAAAGACAGTGTAAACAGGGCCTGAATGTGTACTTTTCGCGAGCTGATTTGCAACGGGGGCGGGCGGAGGATCGCGATGCCGGTGTTGTCTATCGGACGAACCGTACGTAATCCATACATAGCAGAGCTTGCAAAACTGTGTTTTTTTTTGACAACACAAACGTTGTCAACATAACTCACTGGAAATCCAAAATGCTTACACACCGGTGACTTCATTGAAAGAGGAGAGGGTTTAAGTTCTGTCGACGGGTCTCCTGCTGCTGCAGTTTAACAAGCACTTCAACAAGCCTGTTTTTTTCCCGCTTGGCAAGCCAAGCTGACGTGACATGGGGGCGGGGCAGCATCGACGATTCTATTTTTTGATTCAATAATCGAAATTGAGCATAAATTTCGATCGATTTCGATTAAAAATCGAAATCGTGACACTCCTATGTTTCAAATAGGATTAGAATGATTTGTGAAGGATCGTGTGAAACGGAAGATAGAGTAAGTAGTGATAGAGTAATGATCAGTGTTCATACACAGTTGTACTACTAAAATTCCATGACTTTTTTATTATTTTTCCAAGACTTTTAAGTAAATTTTCATGACCTAATGTTTCATGCAATGTCTACATATGTGTGGTAAAAGAAAAACAATAAGGTGTTCAAATTAGGGGTGGGTCATTATTGGCGTTAATGCAAGACATTTATCGGGTGATAAAAAAAAATGATCGCCGTTAATCTATTCTCAAAGTTGGGTTGGGAGCTGGGTCTATTCTACGCAAACTATGATGACTTTCACCTTGATATTTCAGCGCGGATGTATACCTGACCAGTGAGCTGTCTGACAAACAAGTGCCCTTCTGAATCAAATCAGCAGGATGCCTGACTTTAACTGCAGTTCGGCAGTTTCACTTTAACTCATGAACAGTTCATTCATGCCTTCGAGACAAACCGTGGTATTAGACGCAAATAAGGAATAAGGACTGGTGAGAATGTTATGGAATTTAATAACACACGCCAAATGGAAAGAAAAAAAACTTCTGCATTTCACGATGTGTGTGTGTGTGTGCGGTCCTTTACCGACAGCTGCATATATGTGGATATTGTCGGAAAATTCCGAAAGTGAAAAAAAGTCCCAACTGATCCAGCCAAGGTTCGAACCAGCGACCCAGCGACCTTCTTGCTGTGAGGCGATTGTGCTACCCACTGCGCCACTGTGACGCCAAATTTATATTTATATCCATGTAAGAACATTTAGATAATGCCTACACTGCACTAATTATGTGAGAGTGTGATCGGCCAAGGACAGAATAGGAGTCAAGACAACTAATATTCAAGTCTAAAAATATCCAGGAGTTTTCCAAAACGTTGTGGGCTTTTCTGTTTTTCTAAAACTTTTGCAGACCTGGAAAAGGCCATGTTAAAATTCCCTGACTTTTCCAGATTTTCCACGACCGTATGAACCCTGAATGATGCTGGAAATTCAGCGTGGCGTCAAATAAATAACAATTTATTTTGAAGTATAATTGCATAGAAAACAGCTGTTTATGTTGTTATAATTTTTACAATTCTTTACTGTGTTTATATTAGCACCAGAGACACAAAAACATTTAAGAAAAAACGTATCCACCACAAACATTTGAAAGCTAGTTTATATGTAAACATTTTATTATAATGTAGAAAAAAAATTTAAAATAGCTTTTTGCGTTAAGCAGACTGGAGTAATGATGCTGAAAATTCTGTTTTGCATCACAAGAAAATACTATATTTAATTAAAGTACAATAAAAACCAGATATTTTTTTTTTACAATTTTACTGTATTTTATAAATAAATCAATGCGGTGAGCATCAGAGAGACCAAAACACAACAAACTTCTAAAA